CAGAGGACTGAATTCAAAGACACCCCAAAAATCAAAGTGAAAAAATGATGCAGCAGGCTACACCTTTTTACTGAAATGTCATTGCAGCAACTCAAAATGGTCATCAGTAGTTTGTATGGTCCCCACATGCTTGTATACATGCCTGACAATGTTGGGGCAAGCTCTTAATGAGACTATAGATGGTGTCCTGGGGGATTTCCTTCCAGATCTGGAGGCATCACTGAGCTCCTGGACAGTCTGAAGTGACACCTGGCGGCATCAGATGGACCAAAACATTATGTCCCAGAGGGGTTCTATTGGATTTAGGTCAAGCTATCACGGGGGCCATTCAATGGTATCAATTCCTTCATCCTCCAGGAACTGCCTGCATACTCTCCCCACATGAGGCTGGGAATGTTGTACACCAGAAGGAATCCAGGACCCACTGCACCAGTGTAGGGTTTGAGCTGAACATGTTACAGGCAGCATAACATTCTCCATGGCTTCTCCAGACCCTTTCACGTCTATCACGTGTGCTCATGGTGAGCCTGCTCACCATTAGAATTCATCTCTGAGTGCAACGATGATATGGGACGTATGACTATCGTGGTCTTGCAGATCTCGAATAAAGATCTCCAACTCACCAATGTCTATGCCCCCAACTCCCCCGACAGACAGACCCTTCTGTAATGCTGCAGCTTATTGGATATTGCATAATCCCAGTATACATCAGATAGATGGAGGAGACTAACACAGTAGTAAATGATAGAGAGGACAGGTCAACACAAGGCCCACACATTGCAAAGGTGTCTACTGACTCTTCTCATTAGCACAGGTGATTTCTGCCAGAGGATTATTAGACCCCTGGTGATTGGCGCACCCCACACACAGGGAGTTTACTTTCTATTCATATTCTCACAATACATTTGCCAGGCTAGACTATCTTGAAGCGCTTCCTTTTCCCTCATGTCCATCATATGGCCATACACGACTTGATTATATCAGACCATAGCCCCACCTCTATTTCTTTGGGCAGACCCTCGAGCCACAGGCCCCTCCAAATATTTGGAGATTTCCTTCCTATCTGACATGTAAGGTGGACTTCATACACGCTGGTAGCGATGCTTGGCTAGAGTACACCACCACTAATGAATCCCATCAATGTGACCCACACTTGTTCTGGGAAGCTGCCAAGCCTTTTATTAGGGGAAGGATGTTTCCCTCATATAAAACATTGACAAAGCAGAATACCTCTGAGCGCAGAAAGCATTGGCATGAAGCCAAACACCTCTTTGATCTTTGGGTAGAGAATTACAAACATATAAATTGTTCCTCTGCTGATTCACATTGTGTAAATATGGTGATAAGGTGGGTAAGCAAAGGGTCTTTCCAACCAACTCCTGTAGCCTCCCTAAAGGATACTTCTGCTACCCTTGTCTCTCCTCAGAAGAAACCAATAAAATACTGGAAGATATTTGTGCCACTCTATATCTAGATCCAAGACCTTGAGGTGACCACAAAATTCCTAGACTCACTTCATTTACTCACTATTGGCCCCTCCCACCTGTAATCTGTAAATGCCCCATTTCATTAAAGGAAGAGTCTGAGGTGATTAAAGGCTTACCTAGTGGGAAATCACCTGGTCTGATGGCTACACACCAGCATTTTATATGATGGACTCTCTTCATCCCTCAGCTACTGACAGTATATAACGAGGTTTGGGAGGGGGGCCCACAAATTCTGATGGGTCACCAAGACTATGAAATTGATTTCCAATAAGGGCAAGTACCCAACTGAATCGGGGTCTTACCAAACTATATCCCTCCTAAATGTGGACACTAAAATACTCTCTGAAATAGTCACATCCCTCTTGGCTGCAATATTACCCTCCCTTATCCATACTGCCCAGGTTGGCTTTATTAACCCCTTCACGCTGGCGCCTCCTGGCCCTTTAAGAGTTTCAGAAGCCGGGAGACAGGGCGGGGTTTAGGGGTTATGTGACCGCCATGATGATCGCGCCATGGCGGTCACATGATCGGGAAAGGTCCTGATTGAAAGAGGAGACTGGGACCTTTCCGTGAGTACCGGACATGTGTGCTGGGACTGGGCAGAGCGTGCGCTCTCGGCACATATGTCCTTTTTTAATAGAATGCAAATGTACAGCCGCTCAGCATTTAGGCCCAGATGCCGGAAGGCCACACATTTGCGTTTGGATGGCGTGAAGAGGTTAATGGTAGACCAGTGGCTTCCAACATTCAGAAAGTTATTGCAGTGCTGGAACAAGGCAAGGTACACCCATCTGAGGATCGAGCTATTATTACATTGGATGCTGGAAAAGTCTTGGATAATGTCAGCTATCATTGGCTTGCTCTGGTTCTTCTGATGGGCTTTTTCAGCAGTATGGATTCTGCACCTTCACCCAGGGTGGTAGCTGCAGGTCTCATATCAGGTGAAATATTGCTGCATGAAGGGTACTCACCAGGGTTGCCCATTTCACCTCTTCTTTTCAACCTTGCCCTGGAACCTTTCTCCCGTTACCTTTCCTCCAGATCCCAATACATGGGATTCAGACAGGTCAAGAAGAACTCTGTGTAGTCCTATTTGCCAATGATATTCTTATTTTTTATGCGGATCATGTGGCAGATATTCACATTCTCCATCAGGTCTTCACAAGCTGCCTACAGTGCTCTGGCCTTCCAATCAATTCTGCTAAGAGTGGAATACTTTCCTTATGTCGAACCAACCCCTCCCTGGGCCCAGCAGTCTCTCTTCACGTAGCAAATGTTCAGATCACATATTCAGGCATTACGATAGGAAAGGAGCCATCCTCGGTCTATCATTACTACCTCTCACTGATATCTAAAATAGGAAATGAGATGGAAACATGGATGTACCTTCTCCTATCACTTTTTTGGGGATGCCACCTGTTCAAAATGGTGAGCTTTGCTCGCCTATTGTACCCTCTTCAAACAATTTGGTTCCTGCATAAACAGGGGGAGCAAAATAAAAAAAAGGATGGAGCAAACTTTCCCAATATTCCATTGTATGACCTTGCCTGTTTATTGTGTATAGGGACAGATTGGATACTTCAGGCTTCCTCATACACCAATTATGATTTGGAGTTGGCAGTGGGGCAACCATATGACTTAGCTGCTCTCCTGCATTGCAAAATACAATTGTTCTCTACAAGTATTCAACACAACCTTCTGATACGGGATCTGATTCTTACATGGAGGGACATACAGAGCAAACTGGGCCTGTCACCCCATGCCTTCCAATATTTGTCCATAAGAGGCAATCCAATGTTTCCACAAGCTGTTCAATATGCGGGCTTTTAACATTTGGAGTTCTAAGGGGCTCTCCTGCGTTGCTCCCTGTATGACGCATATTTGAACTATCAGGAACTTTGAAATCTTTCCCAACCCTTGCATCAACTTATGCCCTGCCAAGCCATCCCTCTCTCTACTACCTACACCTCTCAGGTTGTATAAACTGGTGCTGCCCAGCCAAGCAACAATGTTTTCAAACTTCCATATCGGATCGCTTCTACAGGAATGGAAATACTCCATATCTGACATCTATCAACCTTTACACTCTCTCTTTACTAACCGCTACATCCCACATCTGTGAAATCTTAGAGCAAGGTCATACCGGGAGAGAACCGGGTGGGCAACATACTGGAAGGATACAACAAAGTGCAAAGGCTTGTGGTGAATGAATCCTGGAGAGTCTCAATGTAAGCTCTTCCATGGGGCCTTCTTCCCATTTCTATCCACTAAGAACTCTCCACAAATCCACTATATAGTGAGCACCGCCTCTCTCTTCCACGATTTCAGGAATGGCCCCGCATCTCAACCTTTTGGGAACAAGTGTTAGCCTATATCTGAGGAGTTTGTGGCTGCTCACTCCCCATGGACCCAGTTCTTTACTACTCTTCGGCTCCGCTACAACTCTCCATTCAGCCGAGAAAAACCCACATCCACAAATCCCGCAGGAGCTTGCAGTGGATATTAATATGTTTACTGGTGGCCCACAGGGCTATTCCTAAGAAATGGACTATCGCCTTGTCCCCACCATCACAGACACTAAAAAGATCTACGTCTTCTGATTTACAGAGAGAAGTTAGACATGGAGCTCAACAACCAAGCTCAGTCAGACATTTCCATAGATGGGACACTTTTATTGCAGCAACACTTACATCCTTGGAGCAATCCTCTATGTTGTCTTCTTTTACTTCTATGGATGGGTTGGTGAAGGTGGTTACATTGTAGAGATCAGACAGCCGTGTATGGAACACGCATTGAGGACACGCATACATAACAGGTGTTACTTGCTCCCCATCTGGCCGTGTATATCTTGGTTTTCTGGTTCATGACGTTGTCATTCTTTTGCTCTCCTGATGTGTCTGTGCGCACTCATGGCCGAACCTTACTTCCTTGGCTTTATCATGACATCTAGGAACATTATGACATTCTGCTCCTCTCACTTATTGGAGTTGGGAACAAAGTCTCAGGAGAGAGTCCATCCATGTTTTCTGATCAGGTATCACACCCGGTCACACCTCCAGGTCAGTTCCTGCCAGAAGATTCCTTCCTCTTTCTTTACTGGAGAGATTATAATTATTTCATTGGTTACTGTGATTTATCTTTTATTCAGAAGTCATGGCAAGAAGTATGAGGTGCTCGTCTCCTCTTTCACCCCAGACATATTGTTTCTTTGTATATCTCTGTAGAAAACTCAATAAAGAATGTTTAAAAAATATGTACTCAGCCAATGAAACGTCAGGACTCCATTTTTATTCTTCTCCTGCTATCAATGCCAACCCGGTCCAACACTTCATCCATGTCTTTGGGGACCTCTGATCTCCTTATGAACTGTTCCTTCCATGATGAAGATCAGCCATGGAGTATATCTGAGGTGTATATCAGGGGTGCTTCTCCCAACATGAGAGCTGGGATGTCAGCAACATTCACCTAGAAAACATTTCCCGCACTCAAGGCACTAATACACCTCCAGGGTTGTGTGGGATCCCTGATGTACAGGAAGACAGGACTTCAGTGAGGAACATTTCCCTCAATCAGGAAAGGAACGTGGCTTCTCCCTTTGTGAATTCGCTGATGTCTGTAAAGATCGGACTTCTGCAAAAAACATTTCCGCACTCAGAACAGGAATATGGCTTTTCCCCTGTATGAAATCTCTGATGTGTGTTAAGGCCAGACCTCCCTGAAAAACATTTCCCGCACTCAGGACAGGAATACGGCTTCTGCCCCGTGTGCAATCTCTGATGTATGTAAAGATGGAAATCTGCAAAAAAACATTTCTCGCACTCAGAACAGGAATATGGCTTTTCCCCAGTGTGAGATCTCTGATGTATGTAAAGATGGGACTTCTCTGAAAAACATTTCCCACACTGAGGACAAGAATGTGGCTTGTCCCCAGTATGCAATTTCTTATGTCTGTAAAGATTAGACTTATCTGAAAAAACATTTCCCGCACTCAGAACAGTAATATGGCTTCTCCCCCGTATGAGATCTCTGATGTAATTGAAAGTTGGACTTTTGTGAAAAACATTTCCCACTCAGGACAGGGATACGGCTTCTCCCCCGTATGAGACCTTTTATGCACATTAAGATGGGATTTAAAACTGAAACCCTTCCCACACTCAGTACAGGAGAAGCTCTTCCCTGTTGGATGGCTGGTCTTGTCCCGCACAGTCTGAGGGTCCTCAGGATACGAGGAATCCGATGGTCCATCTACACTGGTGGTGCCGGATGGACATTGGAGGGAGCCGGGTTTTCTCCTGGACTATACTGTGTGATGTCCTCATCTTCTACTTTCCAGTCTGGAGACAAAGTGAAACAATCCTCGGAGGTTTTCCTCATCTCCCGGCCATGGACTAAAATACAAAGCAAAGAGGATTACTAGACAGGAGCTGATTGGTTCCCCCAAACCAGGACTCCACCCACATCAGGCAGCTTGGTCTCTGAGGAGCTTACAATTCCACCCTCAAGGAACTAGGATATGAGTGTAACAAAAGAGAATCCATATTATGTGTATATATAGCAGTGGGGGGAGGGAGGAGAGCAAAGTCAGGACTATGGAATGTACAAGGTCCCACACCGCTGCCTCCCATCTCCTGAGACTGCACTCAGTGACTTGGTCTGAGACTATACAGACATATCCTCCACCCCGGCACAGCCAGCAGACCACAGATCTTGCTAGATCCGGCCATTGGTAAGAACCCCAAGACACATGCCCCAAGTGCCTAGGTAGAGCAACACCTATGTAGAAGATGAAACACTTTGCTGGCAGCTGAACTCCAGAATCAATATAAATCCATCTAGATACATAAATTGTGTCTTACGTGATGATATTGCAGTGGTTACTCTACTCTGGACCAATCAGTGAGCAGTATTGTCACAATCAGTGGAGAAGACCTAGATTGTAAGCTCCAGGATCAGGCCCTCCTATCCTCTTGTATTGAACTGTATTGTTGCTGTATTGTCTCCCTTTATATTGTACAGAGCGCTGAGCAAACTGTTGGTGCCATAAATCCGTATAATAATAATAATAATAATAATACCTGGGAACTGTAACCTCAGATCTATAGTGGGCCAGTGGAAACAACTAAACAGGTGTAGCTGGGTACCGGTCCTCACATATACAGGAGCAGTGTGACCGCACACAAGAGTCGCAGGATCTAAGGGGCCATCCGGTCTTCACCAGAGCCACTGGAGGGGTGGATGTTGTGCTGCATGGCAGCCCCCAGGTTGTGGCTCTCTAACACACCCGTGCAGGCACAGTGCAACCAAATAGCATGCTGGAAGGACACGCGGTACACACAGGATACTAGGAACCAAGGTCACCTACTGCAGCAACTCTAGGAAGGGGCTCCGGGGGAGAGGATGCAGGAAACACGTATAACATGCAGGAGAGGGAGGGATGCTGAGCAATGTGCAGACAGAGAGACTCAGCAAGATGGAAAGGGCTGCAGGCAAAACAACAGGAAACAAGCTGAGAAGGGACACACACAGCAACAGGAAATGAGGGATCCACGGACAGAAACCAAAGGGGATATAACTGCACAGCCAGAGGGAAAACACAGAGAACAAAAGACAGGATCAAACAGCACACAGAATATGGGAATACTCAAGCGGCAGTGACCACCATAGAAACCAGAGGGGTCCGGCTTTCCACATGAAGACACGTTGCTGAAACACTACACACAGGTGCAAAGACTTGAATAATACCTAGTTCAGGGGGGATAGGCAGGAACCCGAGCAACACGGACAGGAGGCAAAAACCAGGTGCTGGATCAATGTGAAGGGAAGCATGACAAGTATGGGTGGAGGAATGGATTTAGTGTTCATGACCCACCTGTGCGGATCTCTGTAGGAGTGTCCTCCTATAAATGTCCCCGTTTCCATTCCATCCTCCTCCATAGACTGCTGATCATCCCTCACATAGCCTTCTTCTTCTTCTGCTTTCACCTCAACTTTTAGATCTATCCAGATCTTCACCCAAAACCCTAAATCAAGGAAATGCTAGAAGAGGTCATCTGTAAAATATAAGGTTCACATAAAAAAAAAAAAAAATCTATATATTGTCAGAAGTCCATGCTCTCTGCCCCACAACCTTGTAATAGTGAGGGGAATGGTGTGACCTTCTGTGTGGAATCCGGGAATACAGAGGACGGGGACATCTCTTGGTGGGTTCCTGGTATTAGGTGGCTCCATCATATCCTTGTGTCCTTCTGAAAACTCCTCCATCACTCCATACTCTCATCTCCTCTTTATTATACTCTTCTTTAACATCAATATTATCATCCGAGGGATTCCACTCTGAAAGATATAATAAAACATTCATTGTAACAAACATTCTCTGTATAAATCACAACTACCAATAATTGTCATCATCCTACTGATGATGGTGAGGGATGGTGTGACCTTCCTGTGTGGAATCCCGGGAATACAGAGGACGGTGGGACATCTCTCTGGTGGGTTTCCATGACTGGATCCATCTGTAGGGAAACACACACTGACTGAATCCATTGTTTCTAAGTTGTTTTACAGATGAGGGGATCTAGGTGGATCCTCCGTCCTGCTTCTCTCCTTTACAATAAAGTCTCCTCTAAACCCCGTGATGTAAGGGCGCTGATTGTCCCTCATGACGTCCTTGTAGAGATCCTTGTGTCCTTCTAAATACTCCCACTCCTCCATGAGAAAATAGACAGTGACACCCTGACACCTTTATAGGAACCTGACACACACAATGATACAGTTACCATCCAGACACATCCTTTCTGTTACTGGAGAATGTCCCAGAATTCCCGGCACCGCTCCCTCTCTGTCAGCATTGTTCAGTGATCTCTCTGGTGACTTCTAGAATCTTCTGCATGTTGTGTCTCTCGGGTTTAGGGAGTCTCTATGGAGCACTGTGATGGTCATATATCAACCTTGACTTCAAAAA